ATGGATGGACAGCTGTAATGCAAAGGAAAATGACAAGCAGGCCCCCAGCCCCTACCCTGACTATGACGTTAATATTGTAATTTTTCGTACTAAATTGGACGATTTCCCAACCCCATTTCAATTTTAGTTGTATTTGGATATAGGTAAAATTATGATTTCAAAAATATTTTTATGGTAACCAAAATAAATATGCGAAAAAATTTATTTCAATTAAAAAAAATACTTTTTAAAAATATTTTTGGGTTACCCCAAGTATCCCTAAAACAGATAATATGGATTGAGTCTACCAATCCGCCAAAAAAATCACAGATTGGTGGACACCGAGAAGGAACTAAAAATGATAATAATTGTACGTGTAACTTTTTTTTTTATCTCTAATAAAAAAAAAAGAGAATAGGTCAGAGTCATGACACTTGACAAATGGACAATAATGGAGGAAGGGAATCTCCATTATTGCGGAAGACAAATAGACCATTCCAGAAGGCCAGAAACATTAACTTGCGCATTGAGTTTTCGTTTCAAGAATTAATTTTACTTTGACAGCTGTAAAATTTCACAGTTACGCGAGGGAATTGGAAATAAAGTCCCGAGGCTAAATGAAAGTTCATAAATTTCGATGATCATCGTAGTTGATAAATTCAATTTATCTCAGTATTCATGCGGTTAATAATTCTCTTCCAGTGTGAAATGTTGGTTCTTTTTTAAAATTTGGGAGAGCCGGATAATGCGCATTATATTTAAAAATGATATAAAATTAACTTTTATTTTATCTAATTTTTGCAAATGTAAATTAGGGTAAAAATCAGTTAATGTTTAAATTGATTTTTATAAAAAAAAAAAACCAGTTTGACATGATTAAACTAGTTTAGATGACTAATAAAAAATAAATTTAAATATAAAATTACTGGAATTTTAGTAAATAGTACACACACATGAGGTGATAATTTTAAGAGAATAAAGAGAATTAAAAATAAACTTACTTTGTGCTAGAAATTATGTGGTGAAATACTTTGTTTTATCTTAATTTTATTTCATTCCTTTTATTTTTTTTATCTTATTTGTTTTTTTTTTCTTTCCTCCATCATACTAGAGAATTGCGAATTTACGCCCAAGGCGCAACACAAGAAACACAGGGGCAGCGATTCTCACATCTTCACACCTAAGGAGACTCTCCTCTGAAGCTTCTTCGCCCAGATCTTCACCGAAAATTGAAATCTTTCAGCGGAATCAACCCTCAGACCGTCTCCAGAAAAAAACAAGCTAGCTTCTCTTCTGCTCATATTACTGGATGGAAGGCCATCGTCAGTACTAAAATGGAATGACAGCTGTAATGCAAAGAAAAATGAGAAGCAGCCCCCTAGCCCCTACACCTGCTAAAGCTGTATGACCGTAATATTGTAATCTTTCATAATAAATTAGATGATTTTCTAGTCCAATTTTAATCCCAACTCTAGAGCCGGCTTAACCCACCAATCCGTCAAAGAGTGACGAATAGAATTGAGGAAAATAAGAACCACTTGGATAATGAGAGAGAAATGAAGAGGATAAGTTGCCTCTTTGGTTGGGCGGTCCAGCACTGTAAAAACAGTTTATAAATATGATACTTCAGTTTGTAAATTTAAGAGCTATTTTAAGTATTTGTAAGCCAAAATCTATTTTGTTAAGCACAATTATAAAAGCGCGTAAAATTTACTTATCACTTATATAAAAGTTGTTTTTTAAAATTAAAATATATTTTTATCTTTATCTTGTTTTTATGTTTCCCTCTGCATATTCTTTATGCTTCTTGACTAGTTTTTAGTTATTTATTTTTATTATTCTCTTAAATGAAAATAATTTTTAACATAATATCAATAATATTTTTTATTTTATATTTATATAAATTGTACAGAGTATATCATCTAATTAATTATGTACTAATATTATTTGGTTCAAAAATTTTCATATTACTATAATTTCTGATTCTAATTTCACTGTGTTTTATTCATTAAATATAACTGATTAACTTCTTCTTATTATAATACTTTAAAATTATTATATTTTTTAAATTCATATTTTTAATCATTTTTTGTTATTTAATAAAAATCATATTCATTTTGGTTATTCTACAAATTAAACTTATTTATCAAACCATAATTTACATAACTTTTTTTACTTTATATACTAACTTATATAAAAACTAATTCAAATATAAATTATATTATCTAATCTAATTTTTACTTAATTTTTTTTAAAATTATATTGAAAATAAGTTTTTTTAATCGCCACTTTAATAATTGGGCGTGTAATCTTCTTTGGATCGAGTTGGTCAAAAGAGACGGTAGGTCGGACTCAAGGTGTTTGACAAATGGACAGTAGAGAAAGAGAATCTTGAGTCCAAAAAAAAACAGAGAGAGAAAGGGAATCCGAACTCAATTATTACAAATAGATCATTCGGGCTAATTGAAAAAAAAAAAAAAATAGATGATAACAGAAAGTCATAAATGCAGAAACATTAATTGATGCGCTGAGGTTTGAAGTAAGAAAATATCCTATGCAAAAGATATAAGAGTGTTTAAAAAGAAATCAAACTATAGTTTCAGAAGTGATTTTACAGTTTACGAGATAATTATATAGAGAAATTTATCTCCATTTATAAAAAAATACTTCTAAAAAGATTTTTCCGGTATCTAAACAGCCCTGTAGTGCTAAGGAAAAGTTATATGACAACACAGTCATCAAAGGTACTTCTTGTGCTTACTAAAAACAAATTAAACTTACACGTTTCTGAAGTCTGACATTTCACGTGGGAGGTTGAGAACGGGGGCCCGGTAAGGGGGAAAAAAACAAAAGAGAGAAGTGAGGACAGAGCTGGCAATTATTGGAAGGCAATCGTCAATAATGGATGGACAGCTGTAATGCAAATAAAAAGGCCAAGCAGACCCCCTGGCCCCTGCCCCTGCCCCTACTAAAGCTGTATGACCGTAATATTGTAATCTTTCATATTAAAAGTTTGTTTAGAGTTCCGTTTAAAACCAATTTTTAAATAAGTTCGTATAAATTAAGATAAAATTCACGTCACATAGTTATTTTATATTTCACAAATTATGTTTTAAAAATTATTTATAAATTAATCTAAACAAACTTTAAATTGGATGATTTCCGAAGCCTATTTCAATTTTAGTCATAACTCTAAATCTGATAATATAGGTTGGGCCCATCAATGTTTGAAAAAATGACATGTTGAATTGAAAAAAAAAAAGAATCATTTGGACAACAAGAAAGAAATAAAAAAGAAAATTCATTTGGTTAAAAAGAGGGTGCGGAAACCATGGCACTTGACAAATGGATAATGAAGGGAGCGAATCTCAATTATTGCAGCGCGAAGACAAACAGGAAGTCAGAAACGCGGAAACACTTAAATGGCGCATTGGGTTTTCGTTTCAAGAATTAATTTTACTCCGAGGGCAGTAAAATTTCAGAGTTACACGAGGGAACTGGAAATAAAGTCCCGAGGCTAAATGAAAGTTCCCATAATTTTTTCGTAGTAGTGATAGTTTTCGATGATCACCGTAATTCATAAGTTCAATTTCCATCAGTATTCATGCGGTTAATAATTCTCTTCCAGTGTGAAATGTTGGTTCTTTTTTAAATTTGGGAGAGCCGGATAATGCGCATTATATTTAAAAATGATACAAAATTGACTTTTATTTCATCTTATTTTTGTAAATATAAATTAGGGTAAAAGTTAGCTAATGTTTAAATTGATTTTTATAAAAAAATCATTTTAACAAAATTAAACTTATTTAGATGATTAATAAAAAATAAGTTTAAATATAAAATTACCAAAAATACATGAATTCTAGTATATAATAGACACACATAAGGTGATAATTTTAAGAGAATTAAGAGAATTAAAAATAAACTTAATTTGTGCCAGAAATCATGCGGTGAAATGTTTTGTTTTATGAGAAAATCACAAATAAAGACTCCTGAATTATCAAAATTATACAGAAGTCACCTGAATAAGTACAATTACTATGAGAGACCCAATCTCATATTGCAACTATGAAATCATAGTGAAATACCTGAAATGCCTTTCAACTAAATCACAAGTTGATTATAAGAAATAACACGTTCACTTTAGCGAATGACATATTCAGTAGACCAAATCACAATTTGGTTGAAGGCATACCAAATGACAAGTTGACTATGGGAAATAACATGTTTACTTTATCTAGTGACGACTTTGGTAGACCAAATCACAGCTTGGCTGAGGAGTATTTTAGACATTTCGTCAAGATTTTATATTTACAATATCAGACCGGGTCCTTCATGATAATTTGCTTATTCAAGCGACTTCTGTGTGTAATTTTGATAATTCGGGAGTTATTATTTATCATTTTTCCTTGTTTTATCTTAATTTTATTTCATTTTTTTATTTTTTATTTTTATCTTATTTGTTTCTTTTCTTTTCCTTCATCATACTAGAGAATTGTGAATTTACGTCCAAGGCGCAACACAAGAAACACTTGGGCAGCAATTCTCACATCTTCACACCTAAGGAGACTCTCCTCTGAAGCTTCTTCACCCGCACCTTCACCAAAAATTGAAATCTTTCATCGGAATCAACACTCAGATCATCTCCAGAAAAAAGCAAGCTAGCTTCTGTTCTGCTCATATTCTGGGTAAGCACAAGTCATCGCTGCATTTTCTGATTTTTAATTAATTTCTCTTCTTAGTTGTGGTAATTATTTGACGTTGAGGCAGCTTTATATTCTGATTCTTACAGTCTAGCAGTGGTTATGTTTTTCCATAATTTCTCTTATGAGTTGTCATAATAGTCGATACCGAAACAGCTTTAGGACTCTTGTGTATGTACTCATATAGACATGGTTCTGAATCTTGCAACCAGAGCACGGGGTGTTGCAAAAAATGTCAAGTTCATGAGTTTAACTCAGGAAATTCTAGGTACCTGTAGCCGCAGGAAATTCTAGGTACCTGAAGCCGCTTCTGATAGAGAAAAAGCTAAGAAGGGAAAGAAGACTAAAATAATGGGAATTCTTGATTCCTGGTAAGTGATTTCTGCTTCTTAAAGATATGTATATAGACACACAACTTGTGCAAAATGAGCGAATTTCATTATTGTGATTTCTGAGTGAAAAGTACTCATATACGTGATTGCTTCTTCTGATTTGACTAGAATGTGTCCTTTGAAGTATAGATCTCCACTAGGAGCTTTCATGGGGATCAAGAATCGGACCTTCGCCAGCAACTTGTCTCAGTATGCGTAAGCCATCACTCTTTTTCGAGTTTAATAATTTTGATGTTGAAAGAGCCTTAGTTTATATGTTAGTTGATGCTAGCTTGATACTGGCTTTTAATTTGCAGGAAAAAATGAATGTCAAGTAGATGCTTTTACTCAGGAGATTATTACTTGGAGCTAGCTGCTTAGTACGTGATTTGAATCAGTGAGGGATCCCTTTAACATACATATCCTTTTAGTTGTAAGATATCAATATCACCCTAAAGTGTAGCTGCAGTTTCCAACCAAACCACGGCCAAATTATTAAACTTTACTCTATTTTTTTTCCATATTATGAAAAGAATAAAAATACATAAAAGGACAAATAGTAAGTCACGAACATAGAAAAATAATGAAAATTTCATTTTTCAAAACATTCATGAAATATATTTTTTAAAGAATTAATAAGTCTATTTACAAAATTTAGAGTAACATACACTAACCACCATTTTATATTAAATTATACAGAAATCTTCAACCTATGTTTTAAAAAATCTTCATTAAAATTAAAATATATGTTACACAAATTTCTCTTAGAATCCATTTCCATCCACCCCCATTCTATACAATCCTTCATCTAAACTTATTTCTTTAGGTTTCTCTTAAATGCCTGAAAACATATTCCAAACACATTTTTTTTTAATCGCATAGTATGAATGATATAAGTTGGACTGTTTTAGAGATTACATAAATCATTTAAATTTACAATTTGAAATTTTTAAATACATTTTTTCCCACAAACACTTGTAAACAAACTTGGTCAAGTATATATAAGAATTAATCAGAATTTTGATTAAATTTTTTTATCTACATTAACTAAATTAGTTGAACTTCTATTCTACTGTGATAGAAATAAATAATTATTTTCAAAAATAAAATAAAATTAAAGAAAAATTGAAAAATATTAAATTCATCAAAATAATTTTCATCAAAATTAAGGATTTTGTTTGATGAATGGTACACTAATCAATAAGATTTATTTGAATATCATTTTAAAAATATTCTTAATAGAGTTAACGATTTGGACAAAAATATATGTTTTCAAAATGGTGAGAAGATCTGAATAATTAAAATAAAGTATAAGAAAGGCAAGAGTATTTTCACTCTAAAACTTATTAGTTGCGTTATAAAAATTATATATTTTTTCTTTTTAAATAAAAACAAAGTTGTTCACAGCTTGTAGAAAAAGGATTCGTCAAGATTAATGCTAAAACACTCATTTTCATTTTATTAAAGGTCGCATAATTTGATAAGTGTAATTTTATGTATGATAGTTTATGTTGTTATGTGAGACCTAAGGGTAATTTTATGGGGGGGAAAAATACCATATTCGATCTTTAATATAAAAGTTAAATAATTAATTTTGAGATAGTAAGAAAATTAGTTTGATTGATTATTTGTAAAAAATGTATATTGGTTTTCTTAAATTATCCTCTTTAATAGTATGTGTGGGAATTATCCTCTAGTAGGAATCTCTTACAATCAATAATCAATAGGGATAGAAACAAAATAGATTGATGTTTTATATAACTAGCTCTTATGTTAAAAAAAGAAGGTAGTAAATATTTATTAAGGGTTTTCCTCAATTGTATTAACTGATTTCCAATTATCATAAGGGTTTTTTTTTTAATTTTTGAAACAATTAATAGTTTATTTTTCTTACACTTGGGGTCAAGGATGAAATCGAAGACCCTTTTCTCAAAAAATCTAGCTTTCGGTGGCGACACAAAAAAGTCACTGTTGAAAATGTGACTTTTAACAGCAACAATTAGTCACACATTCAACTAAGGGTGTTCAAAATAGTCCCGTCCCAGTTTCGGCAATTAAAATGGGACAAATTGGGACATGACAAAAAGTAGGACAATGACAAGACACGAGACAAGATTGTCCTGTCTAGTGGTAATATTTTTATTTTATTTTTTTATTATAATTATTAAATGTTAAAAAAATATTTAAGGTATGTGTAATACAAAATATTTATATTTGTAGCTTTTAGCACATATGTAGTTGAATGGTTATTATTTATTTAAGGTTTTTATATTTGCTTATGATTTTTGGAATAGTAAAAATGAATTTTAGAGTTATTATGTTACCAATTATTATTTATTTAGGCTTTTATTTAAGATTGCTAAGCCCAAAAAATAGAAAAGAAAACAAAAAAAAGTGCTTTTAAAAGGGCTAAGCCCCAAGAAGTATAACTAGAAAGAGAAAACAAAAATCCATTACAATAGTCCAACCATAAGACCAAAAAAAAAAAAAAAAAGGGACATCCAGATGCCATCCCATCCTAACCGGAACTGGGATAGCACTAAGACGGAATGGCACACGGGACAAATTTTCTGTCATGTTCCTGTTTATTGGGACGAGACTAGGACGGGCTTGTTCAATTCCACCTGTTCAGTGAACAACCCTAAATTTAGCAGTGACTATTATTGTCGCTACTGAAAGTTAGAATTTTAGCAGCGACTCAAAAAAGTTGCCACTAAAGGTGACAACTTTCAACGGCGAAGTAAGACTTTTCGTAGCGACTATTATTGTCACTGTTGAAAGTCATGCTTTTAGTTGTGACTTTTATTGTTGCCACAGAAAATCAAGTTTCAGCGGTAATTCTTTAGAGTCACTACTGAAATTGCCAAATGTCCTCTTTTTCTTGTAGTGAGGAGAAGGTTAGAAGCATATCACTGAAGGATAAATTAAATGCTAAATAGAACATAACAAGATTATACTAGTTCGGTAGTTCGGTCCACCACTTGACGGACGTCTAGTTCTCAAATCACTTCTGAGTTTCTACTAGGTTTCCAAGATTTAACAGGCTCTTGGTGCTTTAATACAATAATTGAATTCACTTGATCACTCCTTTTTACTCCCTGTAAGGTTACACCCCATTCAAGATTCTCACAGTCTTAAATATCTTAGAATTTAATGAAGCTTTAATGAATTTTTCTAAGAGTAATAAATGATCATTGAAACTCAGAAATACACTTTCCAAAAATTTTAGGCAAATCCAAAGAATGTTTTCCTGTACATTCATGACAAAAGATTTCTAGATCCCAATATATCCAATGCTAGATAGCTGCCACTAGCCGAAAAACAAAATATGTGCCCTGGCCATACCTTCGTAGAGCAATGAATATGAATATTAATGCAATAGAGTGGTAACTCAAGTTTGTTAATCTTCAACAAGCATCCATCACACTCAAAGCTTTGTTTTTTGGAAATGGAACTAGTAGGTTGGTAGCTTGTATCCATTGAGTTGCATTCCATGCTTAGGATAAAACTTGCTAACCAACATCATTTTTCCGTTGAGTCCTTAAACTTGTGATAATCTTACTTCAATCATGTTATTAGTGCTTCATAGACTCATAACACCGTGGAATGATGATAGCTTGAGGTATATATTGAGTCCTTCTGATAAGAAGCAAGAAATTGAAATTTGTTAGTTAAGAAATTGATAAGCTTACTAAAGTAGCTTCTTGAGTAAGAAGCTGAAGAAAAAGATAATACTCGAATGCTTACTCTATTAGATGTTTACTTGCTCATATGCTCAAAAAGATACAGAAGAAAGCTCGAAGAAAGCTCAAAGAAATTATACTGATTAAGTTTTTATTCGAGTAGATACTTAGGAAAAGAAATCAATTAAGGCAACTTTACTCGAGTGTCTTATCGAGAAGAGGAATACTTGAGAAAGTTATCAAATAAGGAGTAGAAGATAGCTTTAGAATAAGACAACCTTTGAGAGAGTAATCGAATTGAGAGTTTGAAATCTGGTACCCGAAGGGCACGACTCGAGTTGATAATCAAGTAGACAGATAACCAATCATATAGTCGAGTAAGAGTCTGAAGAAAGCTTATAGAGATACTTCAACTAAAACGAGGTACTCAAGCACATAGTCGAGAAATCCTCAGCCTGAATACGTAGTCGAGTTTAGAAAGAATAAATAAGTTTTGAGACACTAAGAAACTTGAAACTCAAGAAGATAATTGAGTAAAAGATAACTCGAGTGAGTAGTCGAGTAACTTGACAGAGAAAGAAAGTTTTCACCTCAAAAAGATTGGCTCAATAAGAAAATCTTTACTTGAGTATATGCTCGAGTAGAGTAATATTCGAGAATTTAATTGGGAATAACCAGAAGAAGGTTTATCATTAGATATTTGTTTTCAAAACAGAATGCTTTTAATTCTTGCAGAGATTATCAAGAATTCTGGTACTTGAAAGTTTTATCGAGAAATTGCTCTGTAAAATGTTTTTATTACAAACTCAATAACTTTTGCAGAAACCTAACTCTGACAAAAAATCACAAGCTCGAATATTTGTTTGAGAAAATTTTAGATCCAGAAGCATTTGTCATCTTCAAAATTTCAATTTTAGCGAGGGCCTGGCCAATGTCAGGGCATGTGTCTAGACTCAAAAAACACGCACTTATAGAAGTACTTATAGGGCGCCCACTAAGAAAATCCTCACATTTCACCCTGAGAAATAGGTCATGGGTGTTTCATTTGATTCTACTTCTAGATGTGTTCTTTTTCTGTTGATAAGATACAGTTAAGGCACAACGTAAAAAAAACTACAAACCTTGTTGTAAATAACTTTTAAATTGTTAAAATACATTAAAATGAGTAAATTTGGAGATTAAGATAAAAGAAAAATACTTAGATCAAGTTTCTTATATCTATTATGTCAATTTTTTCATTTACACATGGTCATGTGTTCTAATTTTTTTTTCTGAGTTTATAATTAAACGCTATTAAATATTAATATTTTCAAAATGGTACATGTGGTCATGTATCATTGGAGAACTACTTGATATAATGAATATAAAAAAATTGACGCGGGTTAGAAAAAGCGCATGTCTGACTCTTCTAATAATTCAAGTTTTCTAATATGAGTTCCAATTTTGTGTTACTTATGAAGTGCATATTTGCTACAGCTTGTTATTCATTTGGGGAGGTCAGACCTTGAGACGCAGAGACAATCTGTCCTCAAGCATATCAGGTTAGAATGCAGACTTTCCACGTCATGATCAAGTTTAATAATTCCAAACAAACAAACTATTATTTCATTTGATATTATAATTATAGTTATTTCATACAAATATTTTTAAAGAGTAAAACACTCTAATCCCCCTTAAATTTTTTCTTAATTGCATGGACCT